CGGGGCCTTGCCCAGACCGGCAGTGGCAAAACGGCGGCGTTTGCGCTGCCGATACTGCAGCGGCTCGCCGAGGACCCTTTCGGGGTTTTCGCGCTGGTGATCACTCCGACTCGGGAGCTAGCGTACCAGCTGGCCGAGCAGTTTAGGGGTCTGGGGTCGTCTCTGCACTTGCGGTGCTCTGTGATTGTGGGAGGCATGGATATGTTGACCCAAGCTCAGAGCTTGATGGCTAGACCGCATGTGGTGATTGCCACGCCGGGAAGGGTTAAGGTGTTGCTTCAGCAGAATCCGGATATACCTCTTGTGTTCTCCAACACCAAGGTAATTGGTCTTATTTTAGCTTGCAATGTGGTGATAGCGAAATGCATTGAGTATTTGGAAATTCAATTGTTCTTGCTGTGTGGATTGTTTGTGTTAATGTGGGTGTTTTAAAATTTAGGAATTGTAATTATTTATCTGAAATTTCGGCTTCTTTATGAAAGTGGGATCATGTATGAGAAGCTAAGGATTTTTTTAATTTAAAGAAATGGTAATTTGTAGATGATACTTGAAAATGGATATCTAATGGGAAGATTAGGATTTTTAATGAAAAGGTGGTTTGAAGATAAAAAATTTGCAATGGATTTTGCTTGTTTACTAGTTATCCAGGACGAGAAGCATAAGGTGTTTTTATTTGTCATACTCACTCTGAAGTTCCGAACTCAGCACTTATAGTTATAGGTTATTTCATTTTCTTTCAGTTCCTAGTTCTTGATGAAGCAGATAGAGTATTGGATGCTGGCTTTGAAGAGGAGTTGAGAGTGGTGTTTCAGTGCTTGCCAAAGAGTCGGCAAACTCTGTTATTTTCTGCAACAATGACGAGTGACCTCCAAACGCTGATTGAACTTTCTGCAAATAAGGCATACTTCTACGAGGCATATGAAGGTTTCAAGACAGTTGACACTCTTAAGCAGGAATATGTTTTCATATCCCAAAATGTGAAGGATGTGTATCTGGTACACATTTTGTCTAAACTTGAGGATATGGGTGTTCGCTCTGCCATCATTTTTGTCTCAACCTGCAGGTATTCTTTCTTTTAAGATCTTCGTCTGGATTTTCTCGGGCTCTTCTACTTCTAGTGCTTATGTTATAGTGCCATGGGTGGCTCTTTTGTTGAATGTCTAACCAATTGACTTACAGATCATTAATTAATTATTAATCTATGATTTTATGATGTGTGAGCAGAAGCTGTCACCTTTTGAGTTTGTTATTGGAGGAGCTTGATCAAAGAGTTTCGGCATTGCATTCATTCAAAGCTCAGTCTCTAAGACTTGCTGCATTACATCGATTCAAATCTGGACAGGTTCCTGTGTTGCTTGCAACTGATGTTGCCAGTCGTGGTCTGGACATTCCTACAGTTGACCTAGTAATCAATTACGACATTCCGAGGTCTTATTCCTCTATGGATTTTAATTATTGCTACTCTGTGTAGAAAATGTAGTTCAAGTAGGATTTAATCGCCAATCTACTTGCAGGTATCCAAGGGATTATGTTCACCGCGTGGGGCGTACTGCGAGAGCAGGCAGAGGAGGATTAGCTATCAGCCTTGTTACTCAAGTAAGTAGCAGACTTGGTCATTGTGAATTGGGTTAAAATTAGCATTTTGTAGCTCAGTAATCTCTTTCCTAGTTTCCACCGCTCCCAACAAATTTTTGGTGGTCGTTCACTTGCAGTTCACAGTTCTAACTATTGAGAACTGGGAGGAAGATGGTTTTTTATTAAGTTCATTTTCTTTTGTTTGAAACAAAAATAAAGAGATTATTTGTTTTTAAAAAAAAAAAGAGTATTATGTTTGTTTAAAACAGGGAGATTGTGTTTTGCAGAATGATGTAAAGCTCATTCATAAAATAGAAGATGTTGTTGGGAAACAAATGGAGAAATTTGAGTGCAAGGAGGATGAGGTTCTTGCTGATATTACCAAGGTATTGCCTTAGTAAATATATGTACCAGCTATTGGCTTGGTAAAGCTTGCGGAAAAATTATTCGTCAATGTCCATATTTAGTTTGGAAATGTTAGCTTATGTGTTTCACTTCCAATGTGCAGATTTACAAGGCTAGGCGTGTTGCAGCGATGAAGATGGTGGATGATGGGTTTGAAGAGAAAGAAAAAGAACGGAAAAAACAAAAACTAAATACCCTATCAGAGAAAGGTTTATTGAAGAAAAGGAGTCGGAAGAGGAGAAGAGAAAAATCTGCTAAATAAGTGGCTCCACCTTTCACCCTCTGCGCTCTCTGCATATGGATTATAGAGCTTTCCTGGTTCAAGTCTACAACAAGATCTTTGGCTATGCAACATGCAAAAGCCAATTGTATCATTTTTTGTAGTATAGACGTTTAATACAGGAATAGAATATCTATTTTTCTACTTACTATTTTGTTTTTGTTTATTAATGTCATGTCAAGCTTGTGAATGAAATCTTCTTCTCAAAAAAAAATGTCAAGCTTTGTATGTCTGGAAAAGTGACTTAATTTAAGAAAGAAATTTTCTCTGGCACAATTTGAATAAAATCCTCACTATTTTTCTGAAACTGATTTTCAAAGAAGAAGCAAGCCACTCGTTCTCTACCGCTTTTCTCTCATTTGTGCTCAGCCTTCCCTCTTGTTCTTGGTTTCAAAGAAGAAAAAGAACTGGTTTCATGCGAGGGAAGTGCTTACTCTGCGAAGGGGACAAAATGAAAATTTGGGAAATGGGGTTGGGGTTTGTTTTCTTAATTGGGAGAAAAACTTCCATATAAACGATTGCCAAGAAAGGTGGTGGATTTGATTTGAAGTCTCAAGTCTTAAGTCTTGATATTTTTTCTTTGATAATATACGTACTATTCTTATTTTAGATTACTTTAATGTGAAAAAGTATACGGTAGAAAAAGTGAAGAATACTAACTGGCCTTTAATCTTGTGGTAGATGTCGAAGGCTTTGATTACAGGTATTTTAAGGTTGGACTCAAACACATGAGAGGACCGTATATTTTGAGCAATGTGCCGTTTCCTCCCAACTTTCAACTTAATCGAACTTACCCATAAACTAAAAATTCTGTCAATTTAGCACTTGAACTAAACAAAATCTCTAATTTCACTCATACCGTTAGATTTCAGATGATTTCATTCAAAGTTTTATCAAAACTCACACGTGAGGCTCACGTAGAATATAACTAGAGGGCATTTTCGACCTCACATGAGTGGGAACCACATCAAAGCCAAGTCAGAGCCACATGTGAGTTTTGATGGAAGTTTGGATGAAATCATCTGAAATCTAACAGTAGGGGTGGAATTAGCGAATTCATTTAATTTGGGTGCTAAATTGGCAAATTTTTTAGTTCGGGAAGTAAGTTCGATTAGGGTGATAGTTCAGGGGGTAAACAACTAAAAATCCTATATATTTATATTAAGTTCGATACTTAATTGTGATTAGCGAGTCCAGATCTACTGCCCTCAAATTCCACGTCCCCTTGTGGTGGCATAGCTTGGCTGTGAGTGAGTTAATAGCCCGTTGTAAAAGTATTTTTGTAACTATCCTATTTTTTTGTTTAGTGGTATTTCTCTTACCGGTTAGGTTGCCATTTGGTTTATTAATAACCAAACCATTCGATTGCCAACCGATTTTTTTGGGTATGAAAATAGCTTTTTACAATTCAAAAATTGAAAAAAAAAATCCAAAATTGAAAAATGCCAAACTAAAATACATGGAAGAACTTAAGAAAAATGTTGGGTTTGGTGAAAACCAAATGAACCAACTTAGACCGACCAATTATCGGCTTCTTTTTATCGAAATATATGGCAAAACTTGGGAAAACGTTAAGTTTGGTAAAAAAACCAAACCAACCGATTACGATCCATTTTTGTTGTTGTTATGGTATTAGGTTTTCGCAATACGGAATACCTAAAAAGTTACGAGAAGGTATAGTATTCACTCACTAATACTAAGCTAACACTTCTACTATTATTTCTGATATCTATATAGTAAGATACATACATATGCGTATGTGTATATGTACACATATATCTATACCTACAAATTTGATAGTACAACAAATACTAGAACATATAATGCTATTAACACTTTGATTAAATTATACAAACACACATACATTATAAAATTCCTTGTTTGTTGTTCTAATGATATACTTAAGAGTTCTAAGAATGTATTCATTAAGTTTCTTTAAGAGTTCCAATTTTTTAAGAAGGTAAATCTAGAAGAGGGAACACCTTTTTTTTTCCATGTGTTTTTTCATTCTTTATTTTTGTGGTTTCCAAAAAATTAAAGATAAAAAATTCCTAATTTGTAGGGCGTGTTGAAATCTTTTAAGCCATGTCCACGTGTCATGCACTTACCCGGTCTTCCTCCACAAACAGCTTTTCCCGGGTAGCTGCAGGGCCTGTGATTTTCAATTTTTTTTTTTTTTGTTTTGTTTTTTTGTGCGAGAACACGATTAAACACACTCACTCACTTCCAGCTCTCCCTAATTTTTCGTCGAATTTGTATAGATGTCATGTTTTTAGCAACCAAATCCTAATTTGGAAATTAACTTTTCAAATTCCAATTCCCCCAAACCACCCTCCCTATAAATCCCTCTCAGAATCTCCACAAATCAAACACTAATCCCCTTGTTTAATCTCTCACCTGAAACGACATGTCGGCCGAGGAGGAGAAGAACGACGCCGCGCCGGACGGGGAGAAGACGAAGATCTCGCTCAAGACCTCCGAGGGCGAGGTCTTCGAGATCGAGGAGAACGTCGCGATGGAGTTTCACACCGTCAAGGCGTTCTTCCAAGACGAAGGCGTTTCGCGCGAAATGGTGATGCCGATCCTCAACGTCAACAGCGCCGAGCTCGTCAAGATCATCAATTTCTGCACCAAAACGCTAGAGCTCAAGCGCAAGGCCGATCACGAGGAGAATGCGAAGAAGGAGCTCCGGCTGTTCTACAAGGACTTCGTCAAGGACGAGACCACCGAGCACATCATGGAGCTGATCCTAGCCGCCGATTACTTGCACGTCGATGATTTGCTCGAAGTTCTGAACCAGTGCGTGGCGGATCGGATCAAGAACAAGAGCGTTGAGTATGTGAGGAAGCTGTTCGGAGTCGAGAACGATTTCACGCCTGAAGAAGAGCAGAAGCTCCGCGAGGAGTATGCTTGGGCTTTTGAAGGAGTTGATGAGGACTGAGCAAATTTACTCTACAGTAAATTCTATTTGAAATTGACCACACACAGATTTTTTAAAAAAGAAATGAATTGAAAAGAAAGTTGCTATTGTTTTTCCCTTTAATGGTGGAATTAGGGGTAGGGTTAATTTCTGTGAAGGTAAAAATGGGGAAAGATCGGTAGTGAATGGATGAATAGAAGAAGAATTACAGCTTAAAGTTTTTTTTTTTTTTTTTTTGGTTGGGGTTCCATTTTAAATAAAGAAATTTAATTTTCAAGTGCACACTTGTAGATTGTTGGTGTATGTGAATTTCTTCCATGCATGTCTTGACCACTATTGAAAAACAACTGTTTACACCATAATCAACCGAGTATATCTAGCACCAAAAGGACTAGCACCAAGGCAGACACGCCTTCTTCCCTGCCGAAGGAAGACACTCTCCCAAAGTGGTAAACACCTACTGAAGCTCCCGACTGCTGAAGCTCCTAACTACCGAACCTAATCTCCGAGACACGTGTCGACACCACAACAACTTGCACAAAGTCCCACATCGAAACTTTGTGTAAGCCTTCCATTTTCACCTCCCTATAAATAGGGAACAGTACCCAAGACGAAAGGGGTAACTAATTTCTCACCTTTACAGTTATTCTGCCAAAATTACCACTCTTAGCTGACTTAAACATCGGAGAGCCTTCGGCCGGCACTACACCGGTGTCCGAAGCTTAACGACTGCTTCTCCTACTTTGTCTTTTACAGGTCACTCAATTACCGAAGGACCTAGCCTTCTTCCCTGCTGAAGACAATCCCCTTCTCTTTAAGTTGACCTCCCAAAAAGAGCATCAACAACAACAAAGAAAGTAAATTGTTGACAAATTTACTCTACAGTAAATTCTAATTGAAATTGACCACACACAGATTTTAAAAAAAAGAAATGAATTGAAAAGAAAGTTGCTATTTTTTTGCCTTAAATGGTGGAATTAGGGGTAGGGTTAATTTCTGTGAAGGTAAAAATGGGGAAAGATCGGTAGTGAATGGATGAATAGAAGAAGAATTACAGCTTAAAGTTTTTTATTTTTTTGGGGTTCCATTTTAAATAAAGAAATTTAATTTTCTAAGTGCACACTTGTAGATTGTTGGTGTATGTGAATTTCTTCCATGCATGTCTTGACCACTATTGAAAAACAACAAAGAAAGTAAATTGGTGACTAATTTATGTTGATGCGTTTTGGGATGAGCTGAACTTGGTTAAGAAATCTTGGATTAGAAATTTGGAGTTGGTTTAATGATTGAGAGTATTAAAAGTTGAGTTCTTCTTGGGTACTCTTGTGTTAGATTTGGAAGTGTTTGAGAAAATGCTCCAAAGAGAAAATAATAATAAAAATAAGGCTTAGGAAGATGTTTTGCAAGAGTATATGTAGTTTGAGATAGTGCATGTACAAAGATTTTTCTTTTTATAGAGAAGGACAGAGAAAGGAGGTATCTAGGAGCAAGTTGGTGAACAAATTGGGAAGTGAAGTGGCACCATATTGAATTGAGGTAGGGGGTTTTGAATAATAAAATATTTGAATTGTTTAAATGATGTTTTCTACAATTATAAATATGCTTTCTACGCTTTGTTTAATTGTACGGTCGTTCCAAGGGAAGAAAAAAAAAAGCATGTTTCGAAACAAACTTTTATGCTACATGATCATTTTCGGACCAATAGTACATTTTAAATATTTTTTTTTCATTAATCCTTCTACTCTTCTGCTTTTGTTTGTCATTTATTCACTTCTTAATTCCATTACATCACATCTCAATTTTGAGGTGTGACAGAACTTGAATGTAAGGAATCGGCTCACTACCCAGGCCAACTGGGGGCCTAGCCCACGTTAAATTGGCATGTAATTCTATCTTTTGGCAAGGGAGTCAAAATATTGTTTTGGAAATATGTGAACCATAAAAAAGAAAAAAATCAAGTTAGATAAACTGCGTTTTGTATAGAGTATTTGTAACTTCTTCAACAAGGTTAATAATGTTCCTTGCCACAACCACAAGAACATACAGATGCAAGATACCATTCACAAATACAAACTTCTGCTTTGGAAACAAAAGAGAGCAAGGAAGAAACTAAACAAGAAAAAAAAAATCTCCGTAGACATATTTCGAATGATAGAAATTAGAAAAAAGATAAAAATGATTCTGTCACCAGATTATAAAGCTCTTCATAAAATGCTATCTGATTTTGCTGGCATCCTCCTGAGGAAGTTTTGTGGGAATGTAGGGATGTTAATACGCCAATATGGGGGCCTCATCACATAAGTTCCTGCAAAAAGAGCTAACCACCAAGCAGGGACAACACAAAACACTATCCCAACAATCAAACAGAAGATCACAAACAGAGCTGTGGCTCTTGGATCTCTCCAGCTGAGCAAAGACTGCACCCTTTCCCCTTGAGTTGCTATGTCACCAAGCACTGCCTGGATCCTCCCTGCAATGCCCCGAAGCCGATCGTATCTCCTTTTCAGAACATCACCAGTCTTTTTTGATGGAAATGAATCAAACTCTTCATCCAAATCTTCTGGATGTACATCATAGGCATGTGACAGTTCTGTATCTATGTGAGCAATCTGTCTAGGCCTCTTCCGGTAGTCCAAAGCCCCTCGAAAAGACAGGCACAAAAACACCGCGGCGATTGTCAAACCAGGTTGACAAAGCACAAACACAAAGGTAATGTAGACAATTGCCGAGGCAAGCGGATTAGTCCATTTGCGTATTTGATCAAACCATTTGAAAAGTGCAACGAGACCATCGAAAAGTTTGATGATCCTGTCGAAATTGGCCTTGCCTCTTCGAAAGCTCCAGAGATGTGCTGTGGCATCCAACATACAATCTACAACCTCTTTCCTTAATGGTGGCTCAGCACGGCTCAGCCTCAACCAGAGAATCAAAGCGGCTTGGTGTCTTAAACTAGCAAGCTGGTAAATAGATAGTGGGAGGACGTAATGCATTTTCGGCAACAGAGGCTGTGAGTATAATTGCAATAAGTTAAGCATGTTTGGACAAGAAAACCTCACAGCCAATTGGATTTCGCCCATCTTCTTCACCCCGGAAGGTTGTAAAGCCACAAGAGGATAAGAATGTGTGTAAATCCTATCAGTTTCGAGAGTGGAGAGCCGAATCTTTACCTTCCCAATGCTTAAATCCATAGCAGCCTTATCCTGCAAATTTCCGTTGTCAAAAACTCCAATAGTAATGACTGTGCATGGATCATAGACTTCCCAAGTATATTGCTCATTCCACTTTGGAGACAAACTATCAACAACCGTCCTTGTTCGAACCCACTTCATGCCATACTTGGCCACGCAATACGCGTCAACCTGATTCTTAGGCTTCATCGGCGAGAATCCAGTTGCATTCAAGATTCCCAGTTCCAAAACCCCAATTGGTGGTTTCCACAGTATCTTTGCTGTTGGTCTAAGATCACTGGTGCTGTGAGCAGGCTCATCAAGAACATGGTACCCTCCATCCAAACTGACCCTCATTTGGACCTTGCTGGCAAACTTCACCTCCTTCTGTACACCCGCAACCACTTCAACCATCCCGAGATCATACCACTTGGGAGCAGCAGCAGCAGCATCATTCCTCTTCGCGACATCCCCTAAAGGAACCACAATCCTCCCCACGGATTCTTCCTTGTTATTGTTCAATTTCTCCTCCACACTCACCACCAAAGGATCATCAAACGGCTCTGCTACAACAAACATTAGATCCTCATTCCATGTAGGGTTCACGGTCTTATTTGGAGAGACCACACTTCTCAAGATCAAATTCCCAAATTGAGCTTTCACAAAAAACTCTGCTGTTTTTTTGTTCTTGTCTTTAAGCACAAGATCCTGAGCTTGAATCACATTAACTCTCATGTACCAAAGCCTAGGTGAAAGATATACCTTGGAACGAGTGCTTGAAACACCCTCGCCGCTTACTGCAGCCACATCAGCATGCCAAGCCTCAGGAAAGGCCTCATCTGCCTGTGTCCCAATCCAAAATGACAACATCAACTCCCCTCCAATCCTAGCTTTGTTTTTATCCTCCAGCATATACCATTGCGGCGCCAATGGACTATCCGGGGGAACTCTAGTGGGAGCCTCGGCCAATGCAAAACCAAACTTCCCAATGGTTCTATGATCACTACCTTCTGCAACAACAGCCTTGTCCTTCACCAAAATCTCCACACTGACAACCTGAATTCTGTCTTTCGAAAAAGCGAACACTTGGTTCCATTCCGGGTTTGGGTTTTTTACCATGTGTCTTGTGATTGCCCTGTAGTTCCCAAGCTTCAGTTCAACATAAGGGTCAGCGATAGCTGGCAATCCTCTGGCTTTCACAACCCTCACAAACAGATACTGCATGTGCTCCACGAGGTCAAAGGCGGTCATGGGGCCAGTGGAGACCCTCCGACCACTGATGTTCGGCGAGGTTTCCTTGAGGGAAAAATCTTCTTTTGGTGGTTTCTGGTTAGCCATATGTTCAGACTGCAAGAATTGTCCAAGTCTTAGAACCAAATGGATAACAAAAACAGTACATAAATAAAATCATACAAAGAAAACTAAATTACAAAGCCATTAGAAGCACATACTCAGCTTTAACAAGACCACTTCCTAAATGAGTTTTGGATTTATTTCTCAATTGCGAGAGAGAGAGAGAGAGAGAGAGAGAGAGAACCAATATGAACATTCTATGAACAACCACAAAGCTCAAACAAAGAAAATGATGATCAATATAAATCTCAACACTTTCAAGCAAATCAAGCTTTACTAGTACTCAAATAGAAAAGGCGGTTATAGATTGTTCTAACAAACCATGAACTGCCCGTGTAAACTTAAACAGAGCCCTTAAAAGAGTATCACAAATAAAAACCACAAAAGCATTAATCATCGAGAAAAATGCAATACAACCACTTACAAAATCTTGAGAGAGAGAGAGAGCCCAATAGAAAATAGAGCAGCAGATTGGAAATGTACAGCAGAAGAACAGATTGAGAAAACTCTGGATTTGATTTTTGGTGAACTGGGTTTGGATTGGTGTGGGGTGGTTTATGGTTTTAGGAAGAAACAGGGGAAAAACAGAGCAAGATAAGCCCAAGCCTTTGAAGTAATGGTGAATTAAACCCTAGGGATTTCAAAAGATGAAAAAAAAAAATCAAGAAGAGGGTTTTTGGAGGTTTGTAAATGGAAAATATAGAGCTAATTCAATGAGGAAGATTTTTGGAAATCGAAATGAAATCAAAGTAGACATTTTTGGAAGGTTTTTTACTTGCTTCGGTTTTGAAACAGAGAGAGAGGGAGCGAAATCTGGTGCACGTACGCTGACCGTTATTCGTTGAGATTGAATTTATCGTATGTGTCGTGATATTTGGTGGGCATTCTATTGACGAGATATTGTTGCTGTTCCCACTCCAATTTTATCTACTTACACTCATTTTTTAGTTATAAAATGGAGTGTAAGTGGTTAAAATTGGAGTGGGGAAATCACTCACTTATATACATTCCCCATATATTTTTCCTTCAATGAATTTTGATTTTTGAATCTTTGCTTGGTTTCACCTTTGTTTTTCCTACTTTTCTG